TCGGTGATAATCATGAGGACTTTCTAGGGTGAGGTAATTAAAATTATGAATTTCCACTCAACATGTTATTTCGTAGTTCCATCCCATGTTTTACAAATAAAGACAGTTTAAACATTCGATGACAAAATAGAAACAAAAGCTATTCTACTCGTCTTAGATAAGAAACATTCTGGTATATATTTAGTACGTAATTCTGCATAATAAGGACATTCAAAGGTAAAATGTATTTCGTCTTCTATTGCAGAGTTACAGAATGGACAAATTCTTTGTATTCTTTCAAGTCATATATTCCGTCCATAGTTAATCATAAGTTTTGACAAGCCAAGTCTGTATTTAATATATCCATTTCTTAGGTGACTATTTGTTAAAACTGATAGATATTTTTCTGGCTCTAATAGAGTCTTAAATGTTCTGTACAAATCATAACGTGAACTGTTTTCCAAGTTGCATTGCCACCCTTGATAGAACATATTTATTGCAATTTTACGAAAATCATTTAGAAATAAATGTTGATCACCAACAGATTGGTTAAGCCATATATACCCATATCCATGTGAGAATAATAGTGTCCTAATATGCGATACCCATGTAACCTTACCGATACTATCTAAATGAAAGAGCATGTTATAAGCTTTTTTCGGAAGCCGATGTTCTGGCATACGGATGATATTTAACCAATATTTTAAACACTTTATTTGTGAATTAATGTAAAGTGGGTATCTTCCACATTCTACATATATCATATTATTTGGTGTTGCTATTCCAACGCGAAGAAACTTTTTACATGCCAGTAGGTGAATTCTTTCTAAACATTCATATCTTCGGTAACCCCACACTTCAGATCCATACAATAAAATTGGCTGTATTTGAGTATCAAATAATTTGAAAAATACTTTTGGAGTAATAACTCCAAGTTTATGTGAAACAGACATGATATTAAGTGAAGCTCGTTTCCCTCGCAGTGAAAAGTCAGATACACATTTGTTCATATTTAGTGTTGAATTAAACATTATGCCGAGATACTTATAACCATTAACTACATTAATTTGTTGTCCATTTAAGTACCATCTTTCCCTAAAATTTAAAGGACCCCCTTTTCTGAATACTAATTTCTGTCTTATCTAAATTTACAGATTAATTCCATTCCTTAGTATATTTATCTAATACATTCAACTGATTCTGTAGACCAATAACAGTGTCAGATAGTAAAATAACATCATCGGCAAAAAGGAGCATAAGAAGTTCAAGGATGTCAGGATACATCTGTATACCATGCTTGCCGTTACTTGAGATTTCATAATATAATTCGCTTATGAAAAACGAAAATAACAGAGGACTCAGTATATGCATCCCTGACGTAAACCAGATGGGCAATCGATAAAATCAGTAACACCATAATCACTACGTACACATGACTTGATATTTGAATACATTGATTGTAGTATATTAAACATCTTCCCTTGTAGTCCAGCTTTCCTTAAACAACACCATAATTTATAACGATCAACTGTATCAAATGCCTTTTTAAAATCAATAAAAGCAACGTAAACCTTGTGTTTACGACGTGTTAGACATTTTTGAATTGCAGCATATAATGTAAAAATATGATCGTAGTCGTAGCGCTAAGATTGCTGTGTACAAGTGAGCCAAGAAACTGGCTTCAAACATCCTTTCATATGGGGAATCAAACCCGGGCCTTAGTTGCGACGAGCCAACGCTTTTACCACGAAGCTATTCCGCCGCTCCTCTTCTTATATTCGCAGTCACGGAGCGTTTGGTGTCAAGTAAATAAAAGTGACAAAAACCTTTCAATAATCATACGAAATCTCTACCAACAGCAGAGTCCAATGGACGATTGTGACAATATCAAAGACACGTTCTGGCTGGAAGTACAAAGACTTAAAGGAAGCCATCGATGTTTACCAAAAAGACCGGAAGACGTGAAGTAACACGTGACCTAATAACGTCACAATAGAATTACTTTTCTGCACAGGACTCCGGCGTTATAATCACCAGTTAGGACCCCCTGCCTGCCAACGATAGCACGATGATGTTAGTCTCGTTCTGGTAGTAAGCAGCGCATTGAATGAAAGCTCGATGACTACATATAAGACGCTTTTCAATGGGTGACCATATTCACCAAAATATGAAGGGGTCTCTTCTCCAACCTTGTGGACGTTTTCCCCAAACCTACAACACTTCGTCACACGTAATGTATCCGAATCAAGTCGGCTTGCGGCAATTTTCCAACCTCTGGATATTTTCCGTGTTTCCGTATATCAACCTTGGGGCTCCACTCCAATAATCTGTCAGCGCCAAGCGTGTATGTGTTAGTTGAAAATGTACTCTCGCTGTGTGGTCTCCGGTAGTCTCTTTAATCAGCCCGCAGGCCCGAAACTCATAAAACAAGTATTCTTGTTTTACTTGACATGTTTGATGTGGTTCTGTTGAATAAGAGTCTTAATATTGCCCGAATTCATGTCGGATATACCCAGTTAAATAGCATTACAGCCTGCCACCGTTATCTCATCCTTTTAGTGACACAATGAACAGTTTGATATGAATGTTTTACAATTTAGGGGTTTGTGTTTAAGAGAGAAAACAACAACCTCTTTCCCGTGACGAATATGTTTTTTTTATGTAAAGCTGAATTAGTAGTGAAGAAAATGCTCTTTGCTCATGGAACATAGAAGCATATGTAACTTACCCCTCGACAAACAGAACCCAAACAGCGGAGTCACATTGAACAATATGAAATAGCCTAAAAGTGTTAGTAAATACGGCGAGCACATCAAGTATGCGAACCTTTCCATTAGAAGATTGGTGCTGATAAAATGTGGCAGATAGTTCCTCCTCCTATTCGATATGATTAACATCTTAACGATATGTAAAGCTCAATACAGCCGAACAATATTATTTTTTACACATTTTCCGGCAAAAAAGTATTAGAAGAAAACGAAAATGCACAATGACATTAATGTCATGACATATACAGAACCGTTAAACGATTTTGTCCATAAACTTTCATCCTTGATTATCCAAATAAAATGGAGATATGGTATACCGGATAATCGATGACTGAAAGGATATTGTTGTTTCATATATATTTACATATATGTGGCTTCTTCATTTTTTAAAATATAAAACACATTCAGATGGTACACAAACCGGTTTGTTGACCGTGAACAGTCTGTTCATTTCAGTGAACGATGGCAGGCATGTAGTATACTAGGTAGTTCTTCCGCTTATCTCACTGACGATCCGGGTTCATCTTATATAAGAATATCCTTGTGTTAAGTTTCCTTTGTTTTCCCCTATACACTCGTCATATGACTAAACATGAAGAAAACAACCTCCTCGCTATCCACACATATGTTTCTACAAGCACCTCACCTGGAGCTCAATGTCATCCACAATACAATCCTCATACTTACTTTTAAAAACGGCTCATCCGCTGCCATTGCGTCTACAGCTAAGGTTGATGAAACAGCAATCTTATATACCCGTCACCAACTTTCCCGATACATTTTATATTGTTTTTATTACCAATGATTGATATGTTTAGGTTTATCGGGTGCTCTAGGCCGACTTTGTTTGACGGACAGGTGCATCTGAAATTTTGACTCCACGTACCATATATGAACTTTGATAATGTCACGCTTTATGTCTGCCATGGTGATTGGTCAGATCTTCAATCATTCGATGGAAAGTTTTTCGTTCTTTTCATACTATCGTTATACAATTTGGTCGGCCAGTCAGCATTTTTCAAAATGTTGAATTCAATAAAAATAAGATATAATTTATGGATGTCAGCTCTTTTTTATGAGGAACACAGCGTTTCGGAGTATATACTTACTCCTTCATCGGGTGAATGATGGAGTAAGTATACACTCCGAAACGTTGTATTCCTCATAGTAAAGAAGTTGACATCCATAAATTCTCTCTCTTATGTGTGTCACTTCAAAATGCCATTCAAAGACTCAATGAAAATAATTTTAAAGCAATTGTTTGGGTGAATACAATAACGCACAAGTGAGTGAGTATGGTTTTACGCCGCTTTTAGCAATATTCCAGCAAAAATGGGCTTCACACATTGCACCTATGTCGGGAATCGAACTCGGGTTTTCGGCGTTACGAGCGAACGCTTTAACAACTAGGCTGCCCGACCGCCCCCATTAACTCACAAACATACAAACTATATACACGTGGGCATTATAATCATGGAGGACTGTATTTCACAAGAGTGAGTGAGTCAGTATGGTTTTACGCCGCTTTTAACAATATTCCAGCAATATCACGGCGGGGGACACCAGAAATAGGCATCACACATTGTACCCATGTCGGGAATAGAACCCGGGTTTTCGGCCTGACGGGCGAACGCTTTAACCACTAGGCTACCCGACCGCCCCTATTTCACAAGAAATCAACCTACTCATACAGATGATTGATGTATACGTATTCATTATTATTGTGGTTTCATTGTTATTTTATGGCACTTTTTGTATCATGATACTAACACAGAAGTTCCGATTTACAAAATATTATGTAAGTTGCTGTCCATTCATAATTCTTATTCGTGTTGAGTACATCAACCATTTCATGTACATAAGGTTTACTTTATACACAAAGTTTCGGCCTGCATTGACCAGCTCCCTTTCGCAGTAACCACTGTCAACTGTGCTCACCGGAAGCACACACAGAGCGGCCTTCAACTTGGGGGTCAAGTCATGGTACAATTAGGGGGGATAACTGTGGTCTGAGGCCATACTTGTAGTACCTTTTCAGAGGACTATTCCTCTGTCTTCACCTTTCTTGTGTTATTTCCTTTCTCGCGTCCACTCGTCTTTTCTCATGCCTGTCCCCTTTTCTCTGTCCATTCCTTTTCTTCTGTCCATGCCCTTTTCTTCTGTCCATTCCCTTTTCTTCTGTCCATGCCCTTACTTCTGTCCACGCCCTTTCTTCTGTTCATTCCTTTTCTTCTGTCCATGCCCTTTCTTCTGTCAATGCCCTTTCTTCTGTCCACGCCCTTTCTTCTGTCCATGCCCTTTCTTCTGTCCATGCCCTTTCTTCTGTTCATTCCTTTTCTTCTGTCCATTCCTTTTCTTCTGTCCATGCCCTTTCTTCTGTCCATTCCTTTTCTTCTGTTCATGCCCTTTCTTCTGTCCATTCCTTTTCTTCTGTTCATGCCCTGTCTTCTGTCCATTCCTTTTCTTCTGTCCATTCCTTTTCTTCTGTCCATTCCTTTTCTTCTGTCCATGCCCTTTCTTCTGTCCATTCCTTTTCTTCTGTTCATGCCCTTTCTTCTGTCCATTCCTTTTCTTCTGTCCATGCCCTTTCTTCTGTCCATGCCCTTTCTTCTGTCCACGCCCTTTCTTCTGTTCATTCCTTTTCTTCTGTTCATGCCCTTTCTTCTGTTCATTCCTTTTCTTCTGTCCATGCCCTTTCTTCTGTCCATGCCCTTTCTTCTGTCCATGCCCTTTCTTCTGTTCATTCCTTTTCTTCTGTTCATGCCCTTTCTTCTGTTCATTCCTTTTCTTCTGTCCATGCCCTTTCTTCTGTCCATGCCCTTTCTTCTGTCCATGCCCTTTCTTCTGTCCATGCCCTTTCTTCTGTTCATTCTTTTTCTTCTGTCCATGCCCTTTTCTTCTGTCCATGCCCTTTCTTCTGTCCATGCCCTTTCTTCTGTCCACGCCCTTTCTTCTGTCCATTCCCTTTTCTTCTGTCCATGCCCTTTCTTCTGTCCATGCCCTTTCTTCTGTCCATTCCCTTTTCTTCTTGTCATGCCCTTTCTTCTGTCCATGCCCTTTCTTCAGTCCATACAACTTCTGTTCCTTCCACATTTTTTAATTCCAATTTTGTCCATTCCCTTCTTCTGTCATTCCCCTTCTCCTGTCAAGTCACTTTTTTCTGTATATTATCTTTCTTGTCATTCCCTTTTCCTCCGACTATTCTTCTACTTCTTCACATTCCATTTTCTCCGTTCTTGCCGTTTCTTATGTATGTATATTCCTTGTCCTCATTCTATTCGTTTCCTTGCTTATGTTCGTACCTTATGTTCTACTCCTTTTATGAGACCAACCCCTTACTATTCATTCCCATTTGCTATGTTCACAGTCTATTTCTTATGTACGTTTCACTTTGGCTACGTATTGCCTTCCTTCTGTATGTACCCTGCCTCATGATCATACCCTTTGCTCTGGCAATTCGTTCCCTTGTCCTTTCCCTTTCTTGATCAAATCCTTTTCTTACGTTTATTTCCTATCTGTGTTCCATTACCTTTCGGACCGCCTCTGTGGTCTAGTGGTAGATCCCCGGACGCGTCGAACGAAAAGACGTTAAAAGATGCATGGTACTTGTTGTTACCCTGTCTGGCGCTCGGCATTAAGGGGCTAAAACAAGGACTGGTCGACACGGTATCAGCATACTGTGTCTGAGTAGGCTATTCATGTTAAACTGCGGCATGGTATCTCAGTAAGCTAGAACTATAAATCGGCATCAGTCCGGACTAGTACAAGCAGAAACACAAACACACACGTACATGCATGTCGCTATATCAGTGCATTAATCTTGGACGCGACGTTAAACCCAATTTCACCTCACCTCCTTTCCATTTCTGAGATCAAATCTGTTCCCCTCTCAATCCTATACCACTTCTGTTGATTCAATTTCCTCGGTTCCTGTCTGTCCGGCTTACAGTATAGTGGTACGCATGTACCTATACTTAAGTATAGAACATGTGCGCATTACATGGCACCACACGATAGATAGATACATTCAATACCCGTCCATCCAAGTACAGCCGGCCATGTGCCCTGACAGCTGTCGATGTTTTGTAAATGTCGAACTTTTAAGAGAAAGTTGCCCGATTAAGTTTTTAAATTTAAAGACCCTTTCATGAAGGCAAACTTTCAAGAAGCCAAGTTACGGAAGCCCCTTGCTGTGTGGAGGATTACCATCAGATTGTACATGTCACGTTGGTACATTGACAACGTCTGAAGCGAGGAGATATGGGGGCAGAGAGTAAAGAATAACAACAAACTCAATGATTGACAGCTACATACACCCATCATCCTGAAATTTACGACCTGCTATTAATTTCATCAATGGCGACTTGTTCCTTCTGGAAGTAACGTGAACGCTGTGGAACTCTTTATAAAATTAAACTGATTTGTCAGTTTTGAAGCGATGCTAAACACAAGACAGGTTTATGCTTTGATAATACGCAATGGCTTCTGTCAGATGATGGGTTTATGTGAAACTTACATCAAAACAAAATAGATAAATTGAAGATAACCTACCGCAGTGTGCACGGAAATAAAAAAATGGTGAATACTGACGTTTTTGTTAAAGCGACTCACGCTTGTGAGCAAAATAATTAAATCGCAGTCTGGAAACAGCTGAACCGAGTCATTATTTATATTCACCCTTATTAAACCCCGTTGCTGCATGGAATTTTCCTTTTAAGACCATGACGAAAAAAGGGTAGAACATAAATTACAGTTAGAATTAAAACGAAATCAGAGTACTTTTCTATCGAAGCCTCCCCTACAATAAACGTGGAGTAGGTATAGTCTGCTATCATTGTGTTTCATTGTTGGCTGGCTGTAAAAAAACTGTGAATTGAAAAGTATTTTACTGACACATCCAGGCCGCGCGAAGTTCGGTTATTATGATGGCATTAATTGTAACAATCGGGGTGTTCAACTGCGCGACGGGGAATCCTGTCTTTTCTATACTAGACCTTGCATTCACTGGGACGAGGTAAAATTTACGGCGGTTTCCTTGCGTTTTCTATCGCCACGGTTTCATTCATGTGTGTTGCCTGCGATCACCTGGAGGAATGTTGCATACATTAAGCGTATTATTGGCGCAATACACAGTGGTAGACGTGTGCCTTCTAAAGGAATTGCGTCTTTTTTTCAAGAAAAGATTGAAATTGGGTTTTGAATGTCAGCTTTGTTAACATTACATTGTGAGATACCGGAAAACACGGTCAAAACATCACATGGGAGAAAACAGTGACAGAACACATTATAATATATGCCCGACGGCAAAGTCATAACATCATATATACCTGAAGTGAGATTAGAACCTGCATCAAAGCAAGGTTATAACATCATATATACCTAAAGTGAGATTAGAACCTGTATCAAAGCAAGGTTATAACATCATACATACCTGAAAGTAAAATTAAAACCTGCATCAAAGCAAGGTTATAACATCATATATACCTAAAGTGAGATTAGAACCTGTATCAAAGCAAGGTTATAACATCATACATACCTGAAAGTAAAATTAAAACCTGCATCAAAGCAAGGTTATAACATCATATATATCTGAAAGTAAAATTAAAACCTGCATCAAAGCAAGGTTATAACATCATATATATCTGAAAGTAAAATTAAAACCTGCTTCAAAGCAAGGTTATAACATCATATATACCTAAAGTGAAATTAAAACCTGCATCAAAGCAAGGTTATAACATCATATATACCTGAAAGTAAAATTAAAACCTGCATCAAAGCAAGGTTATAACATCATATATACCTAAAGTGAAATTAGAACCTGCATCAAAGCAAGGTCATAACATCATATATACCCGAAAGTAAGATTTAAACCTGCACCAAAGCAAGGTCATTACATCACATATACCTGAAAGTAAGATTTAAACCTGCACCAAAGCACTGGGTGGTCAGACTTGGTCGATGCGTGTCATCGTATCCCAATTGAATAGATCGAGGCTCATGATATCAATCACTGGCTTGTCTGTATCATTAAAGACCGCCGCCATATAGCTGGAATATTGCCCAGTGCAGCGTTACAACAATAACAATGTGTATCTGTTTTTCATAACACCTTACTGACTTTCGTCAATTGTTGATTGGGGCAGTGGAGTAGCCTAGTGGTTAAAGCGTCGGCTCGTCACGCCGAAGGCCCGGGTTCGATTCTTCACTCGGGCACAATGTGTGAAGCTAACTTCTGGTGTCCCCCGCTGTGATATTGCTGGAATATTGCTAAAAGCGGCGTAAAACCATACTGTCGTGAAAAGTTGACAATAACTGTACAACTCCTCAACCAATGCATTCTATTGTTCGGCCCACCCAGTCAGCCGGAGTACGGGCAATTCGTTAAAGTCGGACCTTTTACTTCGATACGATACTGCTCTGGGTGAAGATCTGAGGATCGTCGACGCCGCAAAATTCTCTGTACGTCTGAGCGAAGTTTTCAGACCAGCATATCTTATTTCTGTGTCTCGATAACCAACTTGAAACAGTCCCGAATGTAAATAATTAACGCCGTGACATTATATCGTTGTGGATATTTTATACACCCTGTCGTTTCTTGCATGCCGTAGCATCTACACCCAAACGGGAGTTTCATCGATGGAATGTGTGTGATATTTGTCGGCTTTCTTTTATTAAGATAGAAATTTGGAGGCCGAATTGTTTAACTTTAGAAAGATGACATCTGACTGGCCAATGCATCCTGATTGGCTAAAACAGTCCGGCTTCATTTAGACTGGGCGGTCAAACTACGTAAAGAGTTGTCCTTAAAGGGCAAGTTCACACGGAAATGAACCAATTTTTCTTGTACTTTTTCCACATTAAAAGTGTTAACATAGAAGTGTCATAGACAAAAATATAAAAACATCATATTTAATTAACATATTTTTTGCATTAAAACGATTTATATTTTTCACATTTACCAAGTGTTCTATTTCCATAACAAAAACACCATGGCTTATGCCCCTTGCAATATGACGTCATTGGTGCCAATTGATAAACATTATGACGTCATCATGCTTTGTTAGAGCCGCTTCACGTGGTGTAGGTACAGTTTTGTGATTCTAGCGTCTCAGATGCCAGCCAGAATTGTGTTATGCTGAGTCACCACTGCGCCGGAGTGTGTCGTAGACCATGTTGTTTTACCGCAAACTGGTCCTTGATATCTTTTGCGTTGAGAATAGACAGGGACCCAGTTGAATTGGCACCAATTACGTCATAATCTAAGGGGGATAACTCAGGCCTATTTCGCTCGTCAAACGAAGGCCTCATAACGGCATATCATTTTAACACTATTGTGAGCTTCCTACTTTCACTGTGAAAAAAAATGAGCGTATATTTTCAAACACAGATACTAACTAATTCTAAAATTGCGTTTTGTTTAGAAAAAGAACGAAAGTGATTTTTGCGTGTACACTTCCCCTTTAAGGGTGTTTCTATGGAGGCGTTGTCAGATCTTCAGGTATCATATCCGAGAGAAAAAATCTGATTCGAATTAGATTGTGGACGGGTGTCCCAGTTGTAGCATAGAGTCTGGTCTCTGAAGCAAGCATTGACAAGCGTGCAATCAACAATGGGTTTTATCTGTTTTATAAATACTGTTCTGATATACGTGGTTGTGATAGCTCAATCTCGTATCTAACGTAGAGTTGCGCCCCTTGGTCGTACGGGTTTACGCTGGCCGTGCGTTCAATTTCCAGACTCGTCTAATGAGATTTGTGGACTGGTGTCCCAGTTGTTACCGCGAGTCTGGTCTCTGAAGCAAGCATTGACAAGCGTGCAATCAACAATGGGTTTCATCTGTTTTATAAATACTGTTGTGATATACGTGTTCTGTGATAGCTCAAACTCGTATCACACATAGAGTTGCGCCCCTTGGTCGTACGGGTTTACGTTGGCCGTGCGTTCAAATTACAGACTCGTCCTGGTAGCGATCCTTAGTCTAGCGCCTTATTCGTGCTCGTGTTTTTTACCAAAATGGTGAGCAACTACGAACTGAATCACTTTCCTCCACACTAACCAAACACAGCCCAAAACGGCGTATAGCCCAACTCACT